GAATTCAATGGAAATGAACTGAAGTGAAACCGGACGGATTTCTCATACTGCACGAAGCCATGGATAGTGTTGCATCCGCGTCCGCATCAACATCAACATCATTCTGCAATGCACAATAGTGTGCTAAATCGGTGCACGAATCAGGGGGAACGAAAGAGAGAGAGAGCGCGGAAAAGTTGTCGGGAAAGACGTAAATAACTCAGACATTGAAGAGCTCTTAGTCAGAGAAAAAGAATGGGAATGAGCAAATAACCATTGTTTTACTTATGCGAGTATTTTCAGAACCGAGGCAGATAAGGAATTCATCGTCAAAACACTTGGTCATAAAATTCAGCTCATTCATTTTGTAACGTCACCTAAAATGTGGAACAGATAGACCGGAATTGAGGTAAAGTTACAACAAAAACTAAATGAAAAAGCCGGGTCCAGACAGGACAAGATTAAATGAAAACATAGTCCCCGTGAATGACATTGACAAAAGACAGCATGATAACACAATATGTCTAGCACATAGACTTTTGGCCGTAAACACACTTTACACTCTGCGATGCTAGGATATATTTTCACATAAGGTAGATCACTTATACCAGTCAGCTATGCTGCTGTTCGAATCAATTTCACCAGGGACATGAGACAATTGAAGTCCTTAACACGTGTTCCGTCTTCTGCGTTACCTCTGAGCTGCTCCAAATTGATTCCATCGATTTAGCACTAGCCCGGTCGTTTGATGATGAGAAATAACCTCGTGGGCGGAGACGTTCGTCGACTGAACCAGGTCAGATTTAAAACGATCATCCAACGTCTTCACAAAATGCATGTGTTGCACCAAACGTAAACCTCAGATGATTCGCTCAATGGGTGCACGGCCAAGAGAAATCCAGTGATGTTAGTGGGATTCGAAAACACGAGCAAATAAGTTGTAATTTGTCATGGTCGCTCGAAGTCTATACATCCATCCATACAGACAGACCACAGAAAGGTTCTGACAAGCAATTGGTTACACTACTTGTCCTGATAGATTTACCGACACAGGAAGGTGAGCAACTAATTGGTTTCGATCACGAGCTGTAAAAACGTGGTCACAAATCGGGCCAGAATGAATATGGCGTTATTCACAAAATGTTTTTCACTAGGGTTTCTTCTAATTTGTTGTAATTCACTTCATGTATAAAAGATATCACTGAACGCATGAGTATACGCATGTATGGTGGTGTATGATCATGGAATGTAAATTCGAAAGTTAGTACACGATGAGCTTACGCGGTAGAACTGACGCATTTGTTACAATCCCGTTGGNAGGCAAGCCGGACTTGGGGAGCAAATAGACGGGATTCACCATTGAGGGACGAGTCAGCTGCACAAGTTCCACGATCGAGGAAAGAAATGGCGGAAATGACGGATGGAAGAGAAAGAGTAAATGAGTAAATGATGTACAGTTAAAAATGGGAAAACGTTTCAACGTTGAGGTGATACTTTCGTGAAACTAAGGTGAATGATATTCGAAAAAAACAGAACGATGAACAAAACGAACGATGCGGATGTATGAGTTTCATATAAATTCATATGACCACCAAACCTTGTAGAGGTACTGGTGTTGGTCACGGTCTTTTTAATCCTATTTTATCAACCAACGAAGAAAAGACCTTGAAACATTGGGTACCCTTTATCCAATTCATTGGAACCGAAGAAAAAACACATAATATGGACTTTTCAACCAGCGACAGTTTTGACAAACATAGCATAATGAGGCCTATTCGGTGATGACAAACCGATAACTTTTGGCTTCAGTTCTGTCTAGCTTATTGACCAGAATCGTGCAACGCCGTGTAGACAGAGCAGTACTTAGAACGATGTTCATCTTGAACACTTGACTGCAGCATTTCTGTACTAGAGAGCTGGAAGAGCAGAGCTGTATGCTACCGAGCGCGTCCCCAGGTCGCGGATAGGGGAACGGCCGCCATCTCGCGGCTAACCGTGAATAAGGTGGGCTTCGGCCTACCAAATAAGCGGTCGCGGACGAGCAGCGGCAGCGCTCGAGGATGTGGTGGGTTTACTCCTGGCAAGGGTTCTCCGCTGAAAACGCCACATACATCTGCGGACAGCGCTGTGACGTGGCGAGTGTGGCCCGCCACTAAATATGGTC